TAGCAGGGTTTCGTTTGCCGTATTCACGTCTTCACATTCTTTTCGATGGAAGTCGATGTCTTCTTCAGCCTTTCTTCTAGCCTCCTCGAGCGATTTCTCAAGCTTCTCGTACGCAGCCTCTTTTTCGTGTAGCGCCAAATTACAAGCTTCTAAGTTTTGCACTTCGAGCTGGGTTTCCTTTTTCGCTTCGTTGGTCTGTTTTTGTTGTAAGCCATGACCTATATATTTCAAGAAACACAAACTCACCTGTTTTTGATAGCGCCCGATCTCTATTCCTAAATCCTGCTCTTTTGACTCTAGCGCTGCGACCAAGTTCTCTGTGCCTTGGAGCTTCTTCTCCAGAGCCTCCCTGTAGTCGTTACTCGTTTTGCTGAGTTCCGCCTCGAGCTTTCTGATCTTTTCGTCCTTCTGCAAACTGTGCACTGTTACTGGAGGCTAATACAGACAGTATCAGGTTTCATACCAATTTCTGCACATTCGCGCATCGAATTCATCTCGGGAATCACCGGCCATATGGAAGTCGAAGAATACAGGGCGAAAGAGTCAATCAAGGCAGCGGACGAACGTGTTCGATGACTGGGAACGCACAGAGGACAGCCACTTTGTTCTTTCTACTCTATCGCAGCGTGTTTTTGCAAAACCAAGCAGCTTACCTTCCATACAACGCGTCCTCGCAATACGTGAGACTGATTACCCACGGAGACTGCGGCTAGCGTACTGTCTTGCACCGTGTAAGCGTAAGATGGTCATCCTGGTTCCAGTGCGTCGAGCGCTTGTGTAAAGCTGACGTGCAATAGATGCAAACGTCAGCCTGACTCTGTCATCATCTCGCGGCATGAAGTGAGAGAGTTCAGGGTAGGATGATGAACAGCAGACATCAATCACTGGCGCAGGTCCAGTACTTCCCACAATCGACCTCGACTTGAGTCACGCACCAGCGCAATGTCAAGTAAGCCGCCCGAAGGCCATGCAAAGAATGCGGTAGATTGTGGCACCGGAGACAGCAAACAGAGTAGCGTATTGGTAGACAGTGGCGCCTCTACAAGTAGCCAACAATTAACGACAACGCTACATAGCAGCCCCATCAATGTGATGGAGCAGATCCCGACGCGATACATCCTGGCCAGGGCGATGCCGTTTTATGCACGAAGCGGGTACGACTTCTCCGGTCGACCATTGCAACACGATATATGGTGTCTAGTGAGAACAGAAGAAGGCGAATTCGGGTATGAGTTGCTTTCTGACTGTCAGAAAAAGATGAAATCAGGAAAAGTCAGATATGACGATATAGACTGGGGGAAGGGCATACACCCAAACGAAGACAAGGAGTGGGTGTATAGGTTACAATCCAGGAGGCAGTGGTCCCGGAATATCTACGACGTGAAGGCCGCAGTCCTTTTAGAGGAAAAGAATCATGTCACAGTCTTCTTGTCTGCCAAAGAGAACAAGGGCAAACTTCTCGACGAGATCAGGAAGGAGTGCAATTATGCTTCCGACGAGTTCGTACGAGTGCCTCTCAGTAGTTTCAAACCAAGTGAGAAGCGACGTATATACTTGTGCAAGAGATTACGCCCAAAAACTTCAAACCGACGAGACCCTCGACGTTCTACGCAAACTGCCTAGTACGGTGGCGCAGCATTGCGTTTTGACGTGTAGATCTTTGCGAGGACCTGCGAACGAACCATCACCCGCGTTCAACAAGTCAGAGAGCGAAGGGTTTGCATTCGAATTCTAGCGATGAGTGAACCACTGGGGCCTACTTATACAGATACCTAAGAGTACGCACAACTGGCACAGACGGAAGCATTCGTTTTCCTTATTCATGTGTAGCGCCGGAATTAGTTGAGACCACCAACGAGTACGCTTGTGCAATACAACCAAGTTATCCCCTTGTACATGTACCTCCAGTCTGCCTTCGTTTTCCGAGTGATTTGTGAGCTTGCAAAATCCTGTCGGGTATGTAGA